CAATTGCCTGCAGCTTATATCCACCCTGGTGGAGCGGGCAGCCGTGTAAAACACACACACACTCTGTCAAATGAAAACACACCGGTTGTCTGCTTTGTTGAAACAACTTCCTGTCACGTGTGTTTTAATCCAGAGAAATCGACGTCCTTTTCCCCGGCTACACCCACATGCAGCGAGCTCAGCCAATCAGATGGAGCCACTGGGTTCTAAGGTTTGTTTTGAAGGCGACAGCGCGGCGCCCGTCTTTACCGTCGCTGCGTTGACAAGCCTTTGCTCCTCTGTCTCCAGCCACGCCGTTGCTTTGAGCAGAGACGTGGAGCGGCTTCAGGAGGTCAAGAAACGAGTGAACGTCCTTCCTCTGGGCAGGTAAACGCACTCCCTGTACGGCTGCAGCCTTTCACGCCCAGACACGATCAAATGACCAGAAACATTCCTGTTGCTTCCAGCGGCGCCATCGCCGGAACCCCGTTCAACATCGACAGGGAGCTTTTGAGAAAAGGTTGGCTTCGTTTTGATTTTGTTGTTTTCATAATTTAACTGTGACTTATTTCTCACTGGATAAATAAAAGTAATCATTAGTCTGAGTCGGTCTGCAAACACTAAAACACTATAATTCAGTCATTTTGACAGATATTGAGCTAAAACTGGATGTGGTAGTAGCTGAGAGTCATCCTCAGCACATAACCAGAGCAGTAACAAATCATTTCATCCAGGAGTGCTAGTTTATTAAAACTAATCTACACTTTCTTTTTCGGTGGACCTGTAGAGTTGGGATTTGATGGGGTCAGTCTGAACAGCATGGACGCCACGGGCCAAAGAGACTTTGTTGGTGTGTAACATCCATGACAGACAGAGGCAGCTGTTCGACATAAACAGATCCAAGTAATATAAGTTTATTAAGTCTTTGTTGTTTTTCAAAGTTCTGGTTTGCTTTGTTTTGTTTAGCTGAGTTTCTGTTCTGGGCTTCGCTGTGTTTGACCCACCTGAGTAAGATGGCCGAGGACCTCATGCTGTACAGCACCAAGGAGTTCTCCTTCATCACGCTCTCTGATGCCTACAGGTACAGGCTTTTATCGCTCTGAATCACAGTTTTAAAGCTTGTCAGCAAACTACAACTAAATACTTAAAACACAGTTTCACACACTTTTATTAAGGCACGTCTAGAAAATCAAAAGTTCAGTTTCTGCATATTTGAAATACTCCTCTGTAAATCTTTTGCTCATGCGTGTGTGTGTCTGTGTGTAGTACAGGCAGCAGTTTGATGCCTCAGAAGAAGAACGCTGACAGTCTGGAGCTGATTAGGAGTAAAGCAGGTCGTGTTTTTGGCAGAGTAAGAATCCTGACCAAACACAGAGAAAAGACACCTAAACTGAATTGAATATTTAATTTCATCATTATGACTGAGTTCATATTTTTGGATCAAATGAAACATTTGTTGTGTTTCAGTGTTCGGGGTTCATGATGACACTGAAAGGCCTGCCCAGCACCTACAACAAAGACCTGCAGGTTTGAGATGTCTTTGCTTTGTGTGATTTAACAACGTTACAAGGACATCTGTTTTTCCTCTTCTCATTTCCTGTCCTCTCCGTCCCATCCGTCCCTGTTCAGGAGGATAAGGAGGCCATGTTTGACTGCTATGATACTGTCCAGGCTGTTCTGCAAGTTAGAACTGGAGTCTTGTCTACTCTTAAGGTCACAGCTCTTAAAAATAAAACTGAAGGACAATTCTGGCA